ACCAATTCAAAGAAATTACTGAAGTGGCTTGGGTGGATGATGATGTGAGAGTACGTTGGTCCGAATGATGAGGATCCAATTTACGATTTATCGAGCTCTGAACCAGAGATAGTGATGTAGACTATCTTTGGTTTGGAGGATGAATTAGTTGTTGAGGATGCATAGGGTTGTAAGACAATTATCCATGCAACCGACTTGGAGAATCCAAAAATAGAAGTTGGTGTAACTTTTGGGGATGGTGATACTTTCAAAAAAGCTATTAGGCAATATGCAATAAAAGGTGAATATGAAATTGCAGCTCCCTATTCGAGGCAACAAGGTATAGAGGCTATTGCAAAGTTGAACAGTGCAGTGGCGTATACATGCTTCACAATTGTAGGATGGAAGGACTTGGGAGGTACTTGTTCTTTTCTAGATTTTTTATACTAATTTTTTTTACTTTGTATGTTTGTATTGAATTTAATTCTTGCTTGTTTTAGATAAAGAAGATGCCTTATGAACACACTTGTCAAAGCACGGAAAAGTTGAGAAGAAGAACTGCATGGCAACAAATCGAAGGGTCAAGGATCGGGTTCTGGATTGGCTTGCAAAGGACAATAAAATTGGGCCTAAAAGAATTAAAGAAAAGGCTAGAGGAGCAATATCATCTGAAGTTGTCATCTTTGGGTAGTTTGGGATGGAATAAATAAGGCTTTGGAGCAACTCAAAGGGAAGTGGGATGATAGTTTTGAGTGTATTTTTTAGTTTCAAGGCAGAGGTGGAGAAGACCAATCCTGGCGCTTTGGTAGACATTGAATATGAGAAAGTTGAGAAGAAGACGAGGTTCACTAGAATGTTTGTTGCATTGAAGTCTTGTGTGGATGGATTTCTAAATGGCTGCAGGCCTTTTCTTGGTGTGGACTCCACTCATTTGATCGGGAAATGGAAGGATCAACTTGCATCTGCTATCGCTATTGATGGAAACAATTGGATGTTTCCAATGTGTCATGGTGTGTTTGGATTAGAGACAACTAACAATTAGGGAATGGTTTTTAGCAGACTTCATCGAGCTATTGGATCACCTCCGGGGCTAGTGATATCAATCGACGCAGTAAAGGAATTGATTCAAATTGTTACTAAAGTCTTCAAAATTGGGTTGAAGCATAGAGAGTGCATGAGACACTTAGTTGCAAACTTCCAAAAGCGATTTGGGTGAAGTCTTTGAGAAGCACTTGTGGCCAAAGATGTAGAGCTTATCAAAGACACAGGTTTGAAGAGCACTACAATCTAATGTATGAAGCATGTCCTGAAGCCATGAAGTGGATACATAATACTCATAAGCATCTTTGGACACGACACTTGTTCTCTGAAGCAAGCAAGTGTGACTATGTCACAAAAAACATTGCTGAAACATTCAACAGCTGGGTTACAGATGAGAAATCCCTTCATGTAGTTGATCTTATGGATAGGATAAGACAGATGGAAATGGATAAAATGTTCTTGAGAAGAAAAATTACAAGAAAGCTTGAAGGCAAGATCCTACCTAAAGTCATGAAGGAACTCAATACAAGAAGCAGGGGGCTCAAATATGTGTGGAGGTATTCACACAAAGATGGTGGTACTGAGACTGAAATTTTAGGTGAAGTTGAAGGTGTTACAAGGGATTTAGTTCATTGAAGGCATACTGTTGATCTTAAAGAGAGGACATGCACATGTAGGCGCTGGCAAGTTACTGGTCTACCATGTACACACGCCCTCTGTATTATCACCTCATTTCGAGGTTATAATATAGAAGACTATGTTCATGAGTACTATTCTGTGGCAAAGTTCAAGAAAGCCTATAAAAAGTCTGTGAAGCCAATGACAAATAGAAAACAATGGCCTAAGATGGACCCTGGATTCAAATTATGGCCTCCAATTCTGAAAAGGGCAGCCGGTAGACCAAGGGAGAGAAGGTACAAATCAGTTGCAGAAGGTGGCACTGGAAAGAGATCCACAAGATGCAAAAGGTGCAGACAGCTTGGCCACATGGAAAAAACATGCAATGAATATGTTTATGAATCTGATGCACCACCACCTGCCCCTCCAAAGCCAAAAAGAAAGAGAGCCAAGAAAAATGTCACAGTAGTGCCAACTAGTAGTGCTACTAATCCAATACAGGAACAACCATCACTTGATGAACCATTGTAAGCTTTCAACTCAAACTTGAAACATATCTTACATAGCATACCACTAACATGCATATCTAAACAATTTACAGTGCTACACCACCAAGAACTATCACTTCTGTTTCTACACCAAGCCCTATGACAAGAAGGTACAAATGCAACTTCCAAAATTTTGCCATATTGTATTACTTCTTACTGGATTTGACTTTTTCTCTCCATTTAGTATGTCAAGGAGGTTGCTGCAACAAAATCCATCTACACCGACTAGAGCTATCACTCTTGTGCAAACACCTAGCCCTATGACAAGGAGGTATAAGTCCTCCAATTATGTTTTCCTGGTTGTTACCTTTCTTTAAAATAATTGTTGACATGCTTCTATATCCATTTCAAATCAAAAAGGTTGTTGAATTTGAAGGCTCCATAGAGCTCATTGCAATTTGAAGGCTCCATAAGGAAAGGCAAAAGAAGTTGAAGGTTGTCGTGTCTAAGAAAGATGTGTTTTGGTTAATTGATGAAATCCTAAGTACTCTAGTATCAAGATTTATGGATAGAAAGGAAAGAATGACAAAGAAGTGGTGATAGGTTGATCAAATGCTTGAACTCTCAAGGCAAAGGTATAAAATGTAGGAGCCATTTTGTTTTAGTGATCAAGACACTAGTGAGGTGATCACATTTAGGATAGATAGCCGTACTATTAAGAGAGAGTGTAACTCAGATCAAATGCACGGTTATCAAAGTGCCACTAGATGCTCTAACTCATTGCATATGCATTTAGGATCTAGTGGAGTGCTAACACCCTTGAAAATATTTGTGAAAATATGCTAACACATGTTTTTGGTAGGTTTGGGTCATCAAGATAGCCAAAAAATGTCTATTTTCTAATCTATGAATTTTTTTGAAATAGAGTTGGTCGAAAACACATCGCTAAATCATTCCCTTTGCTAAACCATGTCATTAGGGTCTATTGAGCACCGACGAGCCAAATGTGTCCGAAAAAACATGCCTCGGGAGCTCTTTGAAGCGCCGCTATTTGTATTTGTGTCTCAGCTGCTTGATTTCTGTGAAACGAGTTTGTGGTGAAGAACATGCTTCATCATGTCCTTTTATCTATCGTGTTGCCCAAAGAAGGGGTAAATGTTCATTTGATAGCTCCATGGCTGGCTCAAGGGTTCTCTCTTGCACATTTTCATTGACATAGCAACCTTGTGAGCTTAGCCATCCTCTTGTCTTTTGATAAATGTATTAATAACTATTTGATGAGGATATGTTATAATATGTATTATAGTGTCTACCACCCAATTGCCATAGAGTTTTTGTTCGTGTGTGTTTGAGGAGTTGTTGTACCTTCCGGGCAAAAACATGTTTTTTTGCGGTGTCCAATGTATTATGGCAAAGGCCATCTTTTCTTAGTGTCCAAAGCAACCTAATTATGCCTTTTTTGTTGCTCACTATATATTCATCTTGCATGCATGCCCACACGTCGGTATAATCACTCTACTCACTCATTTACATTCTTGCAAACTAGTTGATACAAGCTCTTTATAATTAGAATTGAGAGCTTGCTTTATTATTTACATTCATCTAGTTGAGCTCTTTAGAGTAGTAGCAAGTTGAGAGCTCTTAGTGAGGCATAGCTAGTTTGTGTGCCTAAGATCATTGCAACTAGAATTGGATAGGCGTTATAGGTGCTTTGCATTACGCTATTTGTCATACCTAAGTTGAGAAATTGTTGATTTGTAGATTTTAAATAGGCTATTCACCCCCCCTCTAGCCATATTAGGACCTTTCAAGTGCCGGGATCAAGAGCATGTATGGTTTTGGTACATCACCAAATGTGGCTCAATCTATGATTTTTTTTTAAACCCGCTAAATCATTTCCCTTGCTAAACCATGTCATTAGGGTCTATGAGTCCAAGTATTTGTGTACTACTTGTCAACAAAGTGAAGAACATGCCATCATGTCCTTTTATCTATCGTAAATGTTCATTTGAAGGAGCAGGGGTATACTTGTCTTTTATAAATGTATTAATAACTATTTGATGAGGATATGTTATAATATATATTATAGTGTCTAGCACCCAATTGCCATAGAGTTTTAGTGTGTTTGGATAAAGACATGTTTTTTTTAGTGTGTTGTGGCAAAGGCCATCTTTTCTTAGTGTCCAGCACCTAATTATGCCCTTTTGGTTTGCATGCATGCATTCATCTTGCAAAGTTTAAAGGTGGCCTATCACTAAATGGAAGTGGTGCTCCAAATTTCGAGGACATCACCGGTAGGCATCATCCTCGATGAGTCACTTTCGGGGAGGAGGCATCAGCTCGTCAACGATCTCCACGAGCCACCGAATGGGCAGAACTTATCAATTAGAATCTACATACAAGTCGGTTTATTAACAGAGCTCCTCCTCACCACCTCGCCCGACGTGTGCACATGAAAAAGAAAGAAAAAGTTTAGGTGGCTGATAAACGGACCCCACTATAGGATAAAATGGTCATTTCACCTATATATTTGACACCGTTAGATAGAAAAGCGGACGTAATGACTTAGAGAGCAAAGAAGTTCGTAACGGTGACACTCATATAAGCTCAACTTTTTTTTAATGCCTCGTGCGTAATTACAAATATTTTCAACGGTACACACGAAAAATCGTGCAAATCTATCCAAACAGGGCCCTCGTCTCGTCGTCGTCCTCGTCCTCGTCCGCGTCCCGCGAAATCGAAATCCACCAAAACCCTAGCTACCCGGCGCAACCCCTCTCCCTTCCCGCCTCTCTACGGCGCTGCGCGACACCCGGCCTCCGCTAATCCGCTACGAAACGCCGCCGGAGGCGGGTGTAGCCTAGCGGGCGGGCAATGGCGTCAACGGTGCTGGAGGCGACGCGGGCGGCCCATGAGGACCTGGAGAGGCTGGAGCGGCTCACGGTGCGCGAGCTGCAACGGGAGCCCGCTAACCCGCGCGACCGCCTCTTCCAGTCCCACCGCGTCCGCCACATGCTCGACCTCGTCGTCTCCACCTCGGGCAAGCTCGTATGTCCCCTTCTTCTCTTTCTCAGGGTTCACCACTCCATCCACGTCAGTGATTCGCTTTGCTTAGCTGGGTTAGGTTTGGACACGATCGATATTTGCCGTTCCTGTCCAATCGGGATGTTTGCAGGGTTGGCTTCTGAGTGTACGAGGAGTTACAGATCCGGCTTTCTCGCAATTCCTATTACATGTAAATCATGTTATGTTTATCTCTGAATTCGATCTGTGTAGATGGATTTTGTGCTCTTATTTTTTAGTTGGCACAACCTGGTTAGTGTTGTTTCACCGGAGGTTTTAGCTAGGGTTATTTCTGTACCGTTCTGCCCCCTCCTTTCTGTTTTGGTCTGAGTGAGGAATTTCCCTTTAGAAATTGAAATTTTGCTGTCCAGTGACGATCTCACTTTTGCTAATGTTGCTTGTGACTTGTTTAGGTGGAAATCTATGAGGACAAGGACAATGCTAGGAAGGATGAGATCAATACTTATCTTACTGCGCCCACGCAAAGTGGACTGTTTAGCAAGTACTACGAAAGGCTTAAAGAGGTATATATATAACCTTGCGTAGCTGCTTGCCTGACTGTGACAAAAGTCAAATAGATTCCAGTACTCACTACTCAGGCACCAAAGCTCATGATGCTGCATATTATGTTTTTCTTTTTGAGATGAGTCTCCTCTGCTTTTAAGAAAGCAATAATGTACGGTACAAACTATCTGGCTGGAGATACTAGCATGCAAAAACAAATTAAAGCAAACCGGAAAGAATTATCCTGCTACAACGTAACTAAAGCTCCGTAATGTCCTGGACAGGAATAGGTGTCTGAAGTTGTTCATCCAGTTCCAAATGATCTTCTCCACTCTAATGTGGTCTTTTGGCTTTAGTAGTGGTAGCTCCATCCACTTCTGCAGAAAAGATATAGCATAAAACAGCATTTCAGTGGGGTGGCTAGGATATTTCCTCTCAAATTTCATCTTATTCATGTTTTCCAAATTGATAATGCCAAGCCTGCAAAGAAAAAAGAAGGTATGCACGCTGGGGTAAATTCAGGTTAGTTCTAACCTAACTTCCCATGAAGTCAGATCTAGAAATGGGATGAGAGTCCCAACCGAAAGCCTCTGTAAAACTGCACCATGCAAATCTAACAATAGGGCATCTAAAGAAAATATGGTCTATGTTCTCAGGTTCATTAGAAAGACCAATGCACACGCCATTTCTGGGCCCTTCTTGTTGAAACTGTTGTGGCCTGTAATTTACCATAGAAGAATTGATAATTTTCATGGGCGGTTTTCATTTCCAAAGTTCTTTTGTCATACTGTCGCTGACCCCTCCATCAGTTAAAAGTCTCTATAGAGATTTGGTAGTGAACTGCAGCCATCAAATCCACCAATGGATTGTAGTGAGATGAGGATAGAAACCCACTGAAATTTATACCCCTATCATTTTCAGTTCAATATTAAGCTACTGTAGCATTTGGTTCTTCACAAATCCTACGTAACTCAGGGTACTCGGTTTTTAAATGGCCAATCCATATACCATTCCAGAAAAAAATCTTCCTGCTATTGCATTGCGTGCCCTGCAAATAGCTCCACATTTGAACAAATATGTAAAACTTATGTAGGCCCTTATGTTTGTAAATAGCTCCACATTTGAACAGATGTCTAAAACTTATGTACAGAGAATTGCATTTATGTTTGGAATTAAATGAGCTATGATTTATCATCTGGCATGTATTTGGTTTGAAGAATTCTGAACCAAGTACTATTTTAGCCTTGCACATATTTCCAAATCCATTTTACGCGCAAACATTCATTCATAACCTTGGTTTCAATTATCCCAAGAGCACCTTGGCCCTTGGGTCTGACTACCATTTCCAACTAATTTATCTTATGCACTTTGCTAGATGATTTTTGACTTGATATAGTTCATCACTTCATCTTATCATGAACTCTGCTAATTGTAAAATCACATTGTATATATAGGCATATGTTAACCTTCCCAAGATTAATGTTTTACCCTTCCATGGGTCTAGTCCCCTCGGCATCTTATTGTGCGTACCTAGTGCAGAGAGCTCCCGCTCTGTGTGGGGTCTGGGGAAGGGTGTCAGTGGCAAGCCTTACCCTCGCCTGTGCAATGCGAGGAGACCGCGACTCGAACCCGGGACCTTCCGGTCATAGGCAGTAAGACTCTACCGCTTGCACCAGGTCCGCCCTTCCCACGACATCTTATTGTGAATATCTGAAAATGCATTAAACCCCATAATATGTCAATCAGAAACAGGTAGGTGCATATTATGTATCAGTAGAAGAACATGATATTGTTTTTCAATGGTGTTCCCCCTTTTTAACAAAATGACTCGTGTGAATATCCAAAAGTAGACAAGTTGAAAACAGAATGATTTGACAGCAACCAAGATCTCATGCATCTAATTAAAAACATTTCTTTTTTGTGGTGTGTGTGTGTGTTTTTTGGGGGCCAAAGGGCGCCTAGCTCAAACGTTTAGGTGGCCCAGCGGCACTCCTCAGGTCCTGGGTTCGACTCCCCGTGGGAGCAAATTTCAGGCTAAGGTTAAAAAAATCCCCTCGTCCGTCCCCATAACCAAAGCACTGGGGGGGCACCGGCCCAATTCTCACTTGAGCGACGGAAAGCCACCGTGTAAGGGTGGGGGCGGGGGTTGTCTCGGCCGGGTGAGAAGGTCCTTCTTCTTATTTGTAATGTTGCGGGGCAGTCTTAACCCCGTCCGAGTTTTTTGTGTGTTTTTTTTTGGGGTAGTTTTTTTTCTGCTATCCCAAAGCAAGCCTTGGAAATTGAACTGATCAGTGATCAGACATTGGGTCGGTTTCCCTATTATTGTGAGATTTGCACCATGTTGATCCTTTAAATGCATCCTTTTTGGGGTCCAATTGGCCCTCTGCTGTGCTAGCAAACAAATATTCATTTTTCAACAAATCTCTAGTCTTTCTTAGTTTTTGTGAATTTTGCCTTAAGTATATTTTTTTTGCTTGCTTACAGATCCGTGAATATCATCGGCGGAACCCATCTGCCCGTTTTGTCAGTACAACTGATGACTATGAAGAGCTTCTAAAGGAGGAACCAGTTATTGAATTCACTGGCGAGGTATTGTCACCTTTTTTGTTGCTTGTAACTCTGCTCGATATTTTGTGTGCCTTTTTGTCATGAGCCATATGATGTTTAATCTTAGTAACTTGTTACTTGCATGCATTTTTCCTTGATGATTGATACTTATATTCCTGTGACTATTCAAGCCTTTAAAATTATTGCAGTTTACCTGGATACATCTTTTTGCAATTGTTTGTGCCATGTTATAGTCTTTGTTTTAACCTATGCAAGTTACATTGCTCATCAGTAGGGTTCTGCTAAAAACCTTTTAGAGTCCATCAGTGCCCTTCCTTTTCCTTTCACTACAGTAGTCTTGAAGCTGAGGGTATCTCTGTTGTGATATGTGTCCTTTAATTTCTGCAGGATTGTTTGATTCCTCTTGTGGGATCTTGGTGGTGTCGATGGTAAGATTTAGACAATGATTGAAACTGCGATGGAGAATGATCAATAACTTGACAATCATTCAATGATCTATTCCTTTTTTGATTTTCGCCGCTGTGTGGTCCTTCTCCTGCTAGATCATGTTGCATATTCACTACATTTCTTCTGTTAATATTCTACTATTCTCACAATAGTTTTAATTAGGTTTGCTAATGACCTGGTTCTGCATTTTGATAGGAAACTTTTGGCCGTTACCTTGACTTGCATGAGCTTTATAACGAGTTCATAAATTCCAAGTTTGGAACGCCCATGGAATACTCGGCTTATGTTGGCTGTTTCTCCCAGACGGACAAGATCTCACATAATCATAAAGCTACAAGGTATGTCATGCATTTTCACTAAGGTCTGAAACATATGATCTCCTGGCATGGGCTTGACTAGTATGGCTATGCCATATCCACCTCTGGTTGAATCCCCTTTTTCTTTTCTGATAGTGTTAGTATGTGGTGAGGGGACACTGCAGGGAAATTACCTGCCGTAGGTTAGTAGGGCTCAACATGTTCAAGTCTATATGTAGGATAGTTGCTCAGCTGTTTATTGTTTAACCTGTCTAGCATTCATTTCATATGTTTCATAGGGGAAAAAACCTAAATCGTGGTATAGGGTAATGCATATCCAAGTACATATGTATGATATTTGCTCAGCTTTTTCACCTGTCTAACATTCATTTCATATGTTGCACTTATATGTCAATTGTTATGCTCAATATTGTTTATACCTTTCAATTTGTTTAATTGACAGACAATACAGAGAATACTTGGAACACATTTTGGAATATCTGACATCATTTCTGTATCTCACAGAGCCATTGCAAGACACTGATAAGATTTTTTTAAAGGTCAGTCTTATTTTACATTTTTTCTATATTAATGTCCCTTTGTGTTCCACATGCTTATGTGATTATGCAGTGTTTTACTTCGGATTATACTCTGCTTTGTAGTGTTTTTAACTATGATGTCACTCCTTTATATTCATTTAGGAGCTGCTAATAGTGGTTTGGCAGTAATTTGTTCAATAGCATAGAGCATATTTATGATTAAATACTTATAATTAACATTCTAATGTCATACATTTGTACAGCTGGAGAGTGAATTCGAGGAACGATGGGCCAATGGAGAAATACCTGGATGGGGAAATAAAGGCGCAGAAAAAGAGTCTGAAATAGATCTTGATTACTACAGCACAGTTGAAGAACTTGTTGAGCTTGGCCTAGAAAAATTAAAACAGGTTTGATCTTAAAACATTATGCTGTTACCAAGCATTATTTTCTTGTCTGGTATATTTTTCTTGTCTGGTATCTTCGACTGTACATCGGTTCCTTGTGTGATGAGTTCTGTTGATTCATTTACATCCTTTTAGGCTTTAGCTGCTCGAGGTTTGAAGAGTGGTGGTACTGTTCAACAGCGTGTGGATCGCCGGATCGGCTTTTCTTGCTGAAGGTGATATTAAAGACGCTAGTGTTACCTATTTTTGTTACTTTTTTTCCATTTATTTTGAATTTACTTACTGTTGATTATGTTTTGCATCTTACACCGTTGGAGCAACTGGATAGGAAGCATTTTGCCAAAGTTCCACATACTAAAGATGGCTCAAACACAGCTTCCAGTGGCAACATTTTTAAGGATGATATGAAGAAAGAAATTGCATTGATGGAAGTAAAGATGAAGCGTCTTTGTGAACTGCTAGATGAGGTTTGCTCTTCGCTGCTCCCTGTGTTTACGTTACGCATGTAATTTTGGACGCACAGTCAATCCTTTTGCGACCACTTAATTCCTTGTATAAGATAATCCTATGAAGATGAAACCCGTTTACTTTGAGGAATGTACTTCATTTCCATCTTAAGCTAGTCTATTCAAATGGAAGACCATCTCGTTTGTCTAGATTGAGTTGGTCTTCTCTAGAAATCTGGGATCATTTTTTTTTTTGGGTGTGTGGCTTGCTGGCATTACACTGTTCCTCAAATTGCAATTTTAGGCATGCAGGGAAGTACTAATAAGGTATGATTGTAGACTCGTTCTGAAATAGTTTATGTGATATGTGGGTGCTTTCTTCGTTAGTCTATTCATGTGATGTGGGTGCTTTCTTCTTTTGTGTATCTTGTATGTGTGAATTCTCTATCACCTTTTGTTTGCGTTGAAAGCTCCATTTACATTACCACAACTTAAAACATGCTTTGGAAGGCTTTATAAAAAAATTAACAGATGATTAGTGCATCGCCTCTTGCTTTTTTCCTAATAAGTTGATACTGTGTATGTTCTGGCCACCAATGTAATCACATGCCAGTTTTAATATGGTAGATATGTATATTTTTGTTTGCAAACCCAAGCACAAACTGTACGAGGACTGTGCTACAATTCCATTCCAGAACGATCTACTTCTTGTTACTACTAACCTTCCTTTTTGGAAGGGCTACTAGTGTTCGCTACATCTTTTTATGTCTATATGTTGACATTAACCTGACATATCTTTGATACTTTATGTTGCTTGTGTAGGCCTTTGTAAGGACAAAGGAAAATGCGGAGAAGAAGCTTACTTTGACGTATGAAGAGATGGAAGCAGAACGGGAGGAGGTAATTAGTTACTTATCCCCCTCTTTTATAAAAAACTTATCTATTTGTGTCTTGCACTATTCATGGAGTCCAGAGCGTGTTCTCTATTTTCAATGTTGTAGCTGCTGCTATTCTTTGTTGTGCTATCTTGAAAACACCAATGAGTGTGGTTTTTAACAATTTTAAAATATAAACTGACATGCATGTCCAATATGCTTTAGGAAGAAAACTACTCAGCTAGACATGCTTTTGACTGCTTTTTGATCAGTATTGTTGCCTACTGAGATATACCAAAATCATATTCATGGACATGGAGTACCATTTTCCTTTCCCCTAAAACAGTTCTGCAAGTGTCTTGGATGTAACCCCCTTCATTTTTGTATTCTGAAAATCCATTCTCTGGGTCATGGTATGCCCTTTTGCTTTGAAACATTGGTACAGTACATAGCGAATAAGTTTCCAAGTCATTTACTATGTATATTCCATGGTGATTTGCTGATTAGTGTTGTCACATTTAGCTCTAATAACTGATTAAGCCATAACTGATTAAGCCGCATACCATGGCAAGTCCAATGTAAAATCTTATTGGGTACTCGCTTCCAAAAAAAAAAAAATCTTATTGGGTACTGGTAGTAGCTTGTTGTAAAGGTGAGCAAATGTTTTCAGTTAGGAAGTTAGAATGCAGTTCTTGGCTTGTTTGCTTTAAATTCCTTGTATGATCTTATACGACTTGGCTGAACATAGTATTTTTCTTTCATGGAAGTAAACTACTTAGTTTTTCAACTAGTGGCTTATATATATGTATATGTATTTTTCTATAGGAGGAGGTACAAGCTGACACTGAGAGTGATGATGAAGAGCAACAAATCTACAATCCTCTCAAGTTGCCAATGGGTTGGGATGGCAAGCCTATCCCCTATTGGCTGTACAAGCTACATGGCCTTGGGCAGGTAACTAGTTGTCATATTTGGGAGTTGGGAGTATATTTCCTAGTAGCTTGTTCCCTCTAGTCGAGTGAGATGGCGCTTTCCACCAATGCTTTCACTCATGGTACAGATTGACTATTTGACACCCATTAAGATGTCAGTCATTTATGGACTGATCAGTCATCACTTCAAATCTATGACGCCAAAAATGAAATTCTGTTTTGCTATATAAATTGGCAGCCATCCTTGTTCAGTGACTAACACTTCTGCAAGGTAATAGTGATGTTGCAGTATAGGATGAATATAGAGTTGTATGTGGTTTTGTGTGTGTCGTTGTATGGGTTCTTACCCCATTTCGTTATCTTCTTAATATAATGATGCGCAGCTCTCCTGCGTTTTCGAGGGAAAAAAATGAAGTCTTCTATTATGTTTTCTGCAGTGTTAACATTTGATAGTAACCTTTGGACTTTAATTTCTAAGCACTTTCCACCTACTGAGGTGGTTGTTTTCTCCTTATACCCAGTCTAGAGCATTAAAAGATTCTGTTTCTGCATAAATTTTATGCTAATTTAGAAATGTAATCCATCTGACTAATGTATTTATGTGATCACATGTTCACGTTTGTTAGTGCATTTTCCCTCTTCCGGAACTGCTTTGGACCGGAACATTAAGGCACCCTTTGCCTTTTATGCTTAGTAATCTCCATCAAATTTGGTATCTGATGCATTTTTAACTGTTATGGTTTGTTCAGGAATTCAAGTGTGAGATATGTGGAAACCATAGCTGTTGGGGGCAAAGGGCTTACGAGCGTCATTTCAAGGAATGGCGTCATCAGCATGGGATGCGATGCCTTGGCATTCCCAATACTAAGAATTTCAATGAAATTACATCCATCGATGTATGCCATCTCTTGTTTTGTTGATATTATTTTCTTTACTTGGTATACTTATTGATACATAGCTTACTGCATTGTTTCTCCAAATAATGAATAGTTTGGTGTCATGTGGGGCGGATTCGCATTATGCAGCCGACGACGCCAGCAAGGGCATTCACCTCGGACGAGGATGGCAGGGCTTGGCTAGGAGAAAATTAGGCTTAAAATTAGGATCGTTTGTTTCCTAGTTTGTTAGCCGGTTGGCTCATATATTCCCTGGACTCAAAACAATGAAGCAAGCAATCAGTTATCATCTAATCTCTCCTCTAACCAGCAGAGGGGTATAACCTGAGGATGGAGCGCGACTACTTAACTTTGGCCAAGGCGCTTGACATTTGGTCTTTTAGTTTTTATTTGCTCATATCATATTGGTTTTCCACTTTTCATTGTGCTTTTTTATTCTGTTTCCTTGTATGAAACATAATGCAAATGAATGCATTCCTTGCCTGCCGTATTTCTTGACATTGTCCGTTTTATTGAATGTGTTTAACATTTTTTTTTATTTCTACTGTCAGGAGGCTAAAGCGCTCTGGGAGAAAATTCAAGCACGACAAGGGGTGAACAAGTGGTGGCCAGACCTAGAAGAAGAGTACGAAGATCAAGAAGGCAACATCTACAACAAGAAGACCTACACTGACCTGCAGCGTCAATGCCTGATCTAGGGCTCCTGCTGGTTAAATTGTCGGGATTTGTTCAGAACTCTATCTCATATAAGTTGTAATTCTGAATATATTGGCCCATTTGGCATGCTCATGTGCGCATGTCCTGGTTGTCATGATAGTCGTCTCCTGTGTTTGCCTCATGTGCTTTGCCCAGCCTGGATGTCCATAACTATGTTATGTTTTACTCCTCCGTACTAAAAAAAATGAAGTCGTTTTGAACAGCGACACGGTTTCCAAAGCATAACTTTGACTATTTATTTTTATAAATATATTTATCAAAAAGTGCTATATGTAAATTTTGTGAAAGTATTTTTCAAGACAAATCTATACATATACATATAGTTTTCATATTTCTAAACTCAACTTAAAAATTATTCATAATTTATATTTCTAATGTTTGACCCAAGTTTTAGTCCAAAACGACTTTTTTTTTTTTTGTACGGAGGGAGTATGTTTTATGCTAGCAAACGTGCCCTTGCAATGCATTCGCACACGACTGAATCTTATGTCCGGCTTTAATCAGTGCCTATGTTTTCAATCTCACGCTGCTGGCGCTTTTCCCTATATTTGAGGAAAAGAAATACCCCTCAAAGCACATTAGCACTTCATTTACGATCTCTAAAGCTTCCTTTACATCGAACTTTGATTTATTTCTCGGCTGCTATCAACAAAAGCCTAGAAATCAATTACTACAACAAGCAGCTTTCTTATGAAAAACATGCCTTCAAAACTGTTGCAGCCATTACATGGAGCCAGGATACATCGTCAAATCATGTTACAAGCCTTTTCCAACTGGGTGATAATTTCAATGGGTAGCCGAGTAAATGATCAGCAGACCAAAAATTCTGAAAGTGAGAAATTTCTAAACTTGTCTACAAGATTTACCAACTGAAAAGAAAAGACTCTTACAGTTATTCCTGCTTCATCTTAGATTCTGATTGGCGACATGGGTGCAGCAACACAAGGATGCACAAAAGCCAGCAGGGAAGATGGACAAGAAATAGGTACAGATACGTTGCGCTGCTCCATTCCCACAGGAACTCCATCCATACCCAGAAATCTCCAACATCTATTGTCCACGACCACGACCCCTTGGACACTCCTTTCATAATCAGCAACGCAGCTGGAGGAAAACCCAACACAGCAAAAGCTATATTTGAAGCCAACAAAACTGCCCGAGGAAGGAAATTCATCCCTGATGCCTTCAGAGGCCGAGAAAACAAACACATTGGGATTACTATCAGAGCACCAAGCTGAGCAGTGGCAAAATTTATTATTGACATGAGCCCCAACCCGATGGAGATGGAAGTGATCATGGTAGCTTTCAGAAGTTTCCATTCAACACCAGCTGAGTATGGTGAGCCAAACAAGACAGACAGGGAGATCAGTACAACGATGGAGAGCACAGCCCAAATGAGTGCGCTTTGCATAGGTGTGGCATCAGGTATCTGAGTAATGTAATATGGAAGTAGTGAAACAAGTACTGCCCATAATTGGATAACAAGCAATACTTTTGCAGCTCGAAGCCATTTCCATGATCCACCCTTGCTTTGCAGAATATCAGCAATGTCATCTGCTTTACCGTTGTCTATCAATTTATCTACTGTTTTTTCCATGCTTCTACTGCCATCAGCAAGGGCAGCAGCAACTATTGGGAGAGGTGCCAACAGCAATGCAAACGGAATCATATACACACCAACCGAAATGAACTTGCTTGGAGCTGTAAGGAAGTACAGGAAAAAGGACTGATGGAACTTCTCAAGCAGATTGTTCACAGAACGTGACACTCCTTCAATTAACCTGAATCAAAAGCATTCTCTAACATGTCAAACAAATTCTGCTGAGGAATCTTTTGCAGGACATGAAATCAAAGCTGCTAAACACCCTAAGGTTATCACCAAGTGGCAACATAAGAAGATCCTGTTCCTCTGTTTACTTCAGTGCAACATTTGCATAAAACACTTCCATCCATGCACATATTTTACATTGGGTTGTTACAGTCACGCAAAAAAAAAAAAAAAAAAAGACCAACTAATTATGGTGTTTCTCCAAGTTTTACCAGTTCATGCTAATAATCTCATTCGTACCACTTATATTAAATATTTTTTATGCACATAATGTCTATGTACTGCCCTCGACAAAACTGTAATATGCTAAAATCTTATAAAATCATAGCTATGAAATGGTCAGAGGCACAAATAAGACTGGACTCAAGTAAATTTTTGCCTTTTATGTGGTTCTAACATGTAATCATATCCCTGATGAAATAATTTTCTGCAATAACTTGCAAGGTCATAGCAGATACAGAACTATTTACTGATCAGCTATTTGTCACTGGAATATAATACAACTTCAGCAATTGTTACATGTATATTAAAAACAGTTCAAATGAATTTTTGCCTGTTATGTTATCATTGCTGTGAAGTTATGGTACAAACATTTCCATGCCTCAATGCATGAATGCAAACTCTTCTACTCCATTATTAAAATCAAAAGGTGGCCCCCATGCTCTAACAACAATGAAGCATTAAACAGCGCAATTGAAACACAATAAGATACCTTCCACCCCTTAGAAGAAACAAAGATTTAGCATTCTCATTTTTGACATGAAATGTTGGTGAAAATTCTAAAGAAACCGCGTCAACTTGATAATCACGGAAAGCACCATGGGACCCTGTGGGCACTCCAAGAGCCTGTATCGAACAAACCCCAATAAGAGGGACTGCAGAGTCATAAAAAAGGAAAGTGACATTAAGGTGAATGGGAAAGCTAATTTCAATTACCTGGTTGTACATAGAGTTAGCTAGGTTTGCAGTCCCTTCCACATAGTCAGGGACTGCAATATCAAGCTTCCAGTCAGGATTTATTTTTCTTAACACACTCCCAAGAGTATGTAAAATTTCAGCAATAACCCTAAGCCATGCAGAGCTCAACAATGAACTAAATGCAGCGATGTTCACACGGAAACCTTGTCTGTGAACAGCCAAATAATGCACCACATTCAGAAGGTCCAAGTTTGGCATTTGTCCATTAGATGCTTCTGCATAAATCATAACACTATCCCTGTCACTATATCTTCTGGTTTCCCCAACTTTAAATATGAGAGCAGCAGCCATTGTTCCAGCACGTTTGAAAGCCGTGACTTCTGTTTTTTCTGAATTACCATCATATATATGGTTTGCACCATACATCTTGGTATGCAATACCACTGAGTGACTCAAAAACACAGGATTATGATACTGGTTTAACCATGCAGAGACTGCAGCATACTCTCCAAACTGTGAGTCTGCAGATAACCACACAACATCCTTGGACAGCCATGCTGCTTGACTTAAGAGGGAGAAGACAGAGAAACCAAGAGCCAGCGATAATAGTTCATTCGACTGAACTCTTTGAGAATTATAAGGAGTAACCAGCACTATTGCTTCTTTTCCATCGCCACGAGGAGCTCGTACAATGCCGATAGTGTTTATCCCAAAATTGGTGGCGGTGCCATTAGGTTGAACAGCAATATCATTTGTCATGGAGGTGAAGAACTTCAGAGGATGAAAATTCTTGCTATGAGGGAGAAACTTATGGTAACACACTTCTGCACCTAGAGCTTCTATTTGTTGTGCTATGAAATTTGCCATGCCACTGTAACATTGCACGCAGAATTGTAAATTAGAGGAAAATTGGCTAAAACTATTTACCTTTTGCAATCCTAGGATTAAACTAGTTCCCTGTGCATATTCTCATATTTACAAGTCATAAAAAATATGACTTTAGCTTAATGAACTTAACAAAAAAAAGTTTATAGACATGTTTCTTATGCAAAACTGAAAAAAATAGATCTTTTTACTATCAAAGCATTGAACTCCGATTTTGAGTTACATGGATTCTACTTGTATGCTTACTAGTATAACTAAAATGCAGTAGTAATCTTGTACTTTACCATAGCAAGTCTCTCAACAGCAGTCACGAAATATTGAACATAACAGACCAGTTACAAAGATCGATGCATACAAATATTAAAGGCTGAATGAAGTAACATACATTACACCTCTTGAGTCTCCAGCCACAGCTTCAATTCCTTTCATAAACCTGTTTGCTTCGATGGCATCTTCAGTAGAAAATAATGGATTGGCAGAGCCTACATACAAGAGGCTCCAGTTTTAGAGAAGGTTCTTTATGTAAGAAGTTCCAAAAGAGAGTTATAAATGAAAAATGTCGTTATCATTAACAACATATATGTTAGATAATCAGCTGCTCTTTCATCAAGCTCTTTTATCATAGCAGGTAGAATAGTAGCAACTAGTGGACAGCATGGCCCTCAGTTGAGCTCATGTATTTTTGCTAGGACTTTTATATATGAAAGGTGGAAGCATAGCTGCAGCTTTAGTTCAGCAGCACCATTCACTAGTGTTCATGTGTGTGCGCGCTCTGATCTCCTCTTCTTCAACGTCCGGCATGTGTGAGTGAGTGAGGGGTGTGGTGATACACACCTGAGCGACAAAGCAGGCCAACAATATACTCCATTTTGTGTGATTTATACTAGCTCGGTACAATGCATATTTTTGCAACCACATTGGATATGAATAGTCAGTCTTAAGTATCTGATAACAAACATCAAAACCCACTATGTTACATCATATTCAACCATTTAATTTTGGAAGGTATTCCTTGGCACATGATAAATCCAATGAGGCCCAAAGCTAAACTGAACACCCAAAGATCCAGGATATTTAGCAATATTGATATGTTGCTTCATTAGAGGACTTATATTCAACAAAGCATGCTGAGAACGCTACAATACACTTTAGGATAAAATATCTACAGTATGCAGTCTGAAGATCTGGGTGTATGGCCACCAGACAGGCACACCCTTCAAGAACAACAGCGTGTATGCATCAATAAAGTAGCAGTAAACAAAAATAGAGAGGAGGGTAAAATACCAGGTATAAGAGCATTCTCCGAGAGGTATGTGTTTTTTGCAAGTGAAGGAAGTAGTAGTAGTGCGATAATGCCTGCAAAGCAGCATATAACACTGATCCAAAATGGTGAATAATGAGTTAGGGGAACGAGAAAGGACAAAAGGAAGGATTTAGACTGCAAAAAGAAGGAGAAAGGAAGGTGAACCTGAAGAGAATGTGGTGAGATGCAAGGAATACACCAAGGCGCACAATGAGCCGCGGTTTTGGCTGTGTCTCTTGCTCGGCTAACGACTTCATGACTGTAATATAGTTTAGTAATAGCTTGAAATGAAATCAACTATTCATTTGACTGCAAAATGAAATGAGAATAAGCACATCAGCAGCGTAAAAAGAAAGTTTGAAGTCAATTAAAATATTATCAAGCATTTTGATTTCTGGTTTAGAACATCCATTTTAATTCTTAAATCCATTAAGTTATATTTTATCAAAGGCATCCATGAAAAAAAGAGAGATGAATTCATGGTCAATGATCTTGAGGTGTTACTAATGAATCAATTTCTTTTATCAAAACAAAATAAACAATAGCTAATCATTTGGCCTGGATGCAAGAAGAATGCATATGGACAATCATACTAACCCTCCATCATTAACTTATAGTCTTCATCCATGAATGCATGCAGTGAAGCTTCAAAACAGCCAGACAGGTGCGGACTTGCACCAATCCACAAAAGGTTTGGAATAGAAACTAGCACTGGGACTCCACTACGCGGCAAAACATAAGTGCAATAAACTAGAATGGTTGGAACATCCATCACAGTAAGTTAGAGCTAGATCGTTTTCCCCCTTTTTAGATGGAACAGATTTGACCTTTGCTTTCACTGGAAGCACACTGTTCAGCAGAGCTAGCATGTCTTAAGAAAGATCTAAAACTGAATGATGGAATTTAGAATGCCCCAGGCCATTTATTTACAACAAATGATATTAGAGGGGCAGCGGGATCGAACCTTCACCATTTAACAAAAAAAGACTGTTTAGCTGAATCGAATGAATTAGCTCCAACACTAGCTACAGGACTACAGCCTAGTCCACCGTCACAGGGGGCAGACCCAATAAAGGACATGGGTGTACACATGTAGTGATTAGATCAGATCCGAATACAGATTGCCAAATGGATTAAATTAGGGTTTGGGTGCTCAGTTTTGCACAGCAAGAAGAGAAGAGCGGGCGGGCATACCTGGTGTGGTGGGTGCTGTCGCCGTCAAAGAGCCCGACGAAGAGCAGCGGTCGCTGGCCGTCGGGCGGCGGCGGCCGTCTAGTTGTCCCGCACGCCAGGTAAAGCGGGAGAAGAGAACGAGAAAAAAGAAGGAAACACCGGAACAGGAACCTTACCTGCGCGCGACGGAACGAGATCCTGTGTCACTCACTCGGTCACTCCAGTCGACTTTTCTCTACCATCGTCAGATGTAACCGTGACTCTAGGACTCTGAAAGCTTACCCATTCTAACGGGCCAGCAGCCAGCCGCACTATTTGGCGAACGATACGGTGACTACAGATAGGAGTCGCTGTCCAGCACTGCAGAGGATCTCGTTCCACGTGTACGGCATCATCGGATATTAGCATGCTAAACAGGAGACTAAACATGAGATAATTATAAAACTAATTACAAAGATAGAGACTAATTTACAAGATGAGTTTATTAAACCTAATTAATCCATCACTAACGTTGTCAAATCATGGACTAATTAGACTTAATAAATTCGTCTCACAAATTAGTCTCCATTTGTGCAAATGTTTTTTCTCAATCACACAAATGATTTGCCGTTTTTTATCAAGAGAGAATCATTTGTTTACAGTGCACCCATGAGGCGCTCTAGGGGTGAAAATTGTTTTCATTGGCCCTCCCTGAAAGACCACTAAAACACTCAATACTTTAATATTATAAGTACTGTGTTACTATTTTTGAAAAAAATATAGTTCATACTTGGAAATGATAAAGCATTTTCCTTTTATACTCAAAAGTAGAGACCAGATCAATAAAAATCGAATGCATTATTCTAATTGTGTATCTGTCTAATTAGAGCTACCTCTATTATCATTGTCAGAGGTGGGGCTGGGTTTCCCAACCACTTTTAAAAATATACTTCTAGTGACAATTAGATTAGTGGAACCCGACAAAGATGTGAATTGAGCCTACTCTATCAAAAATAGGGCTATTGCTTAAAATCGTTTCTCTAGTACCGGTACTGGATGCTAAGGGAGTAAGGGGAAGAAAGGTTAAATAAAAAAGAGATAAATATCAGGGGTTATCTTCCTAGCTTTTGTTAAAGTGTGAAATCGAGTTGACTTTTTATCTATGTGTAATTGAGCTGATAATCTACGCAAATAGCAGGAGAAAATATCTGTTGCTGCTTTCAACATGTGCAGTAGCATGATCGGAGCAGATGCTCTAGCATATTTGATCTCATTCGTTTAAAAGAAGCAATAAAATGGTATATAGAGATTTTATTCATAGCTGATCGTGATTCTATATATGTATTAAACAATGTGTAGACATTCAAATATATAGGATCCATTATATAACTTTTTTTTTTTTGCTGTATCGGGTGACGTGGCAAAACTTAGGTTGTACATGATAGAAACTTAGCTAGAGCGACGTTTCTAACTTACCTTCTAGATGCTCCACCCACCTGCCTGCTAGGTTTTGACTAAAAGCACATGTTGTAAACATATTTTTCAAGTGTTTCAGATGTTTTAGAAGTATGTTGTAAATGTTTTAGATGGATATTATAAAAAAAGTAGATCGAGATGTTGTATATGTTGGAATGGTTCTACACTTATATTGCAAAGGTCTATGACCAATGTTTCATCTTGTGTTTTTAGAAAGTATATTGCGTGTGTGTTTATCTAAATTTTGTATATGTTTTAGACATATGTTGCAAGTGTTTTATCTGGATATTGCGTATATTTGCAATGATTTTTCAAGTGTTTTCAGGAGCTTTTTTCAAGTGTTTCAGAAGAATGCTTCAAATGTTTCATCTATCTTCTTTTTGTATGTTGTATCTGAATGTTTCAAAAGTAGATCGAACGAGTTTAGTGGGTCTCCATCTGGTTGGTGTGGACCATATTTTCGACGATGTTTTTCGACTCCATGGTGGTTGGTGGCAGCGGGCAGACTACACCCCTGCAGCAGTGGTCAGCTGCAGCTTGAGGCAACTCTCAAACAGGTGCCTCTGGCGCGCGGGCCCCGTGTGGGGTGTGTAAAATAGCGTGGAGGCGAACTGTAGGTGTGGACGTCCGGACGACCCGTCCGGATGTCCGGCCCTAACAGTTCCCCTTTTATATATGTATTAAACAGTTTGTATATTCATTCAAACATAGGATCCATTATATATACTTTTTTTTGCTGTATCCGTGTGACGTGGCAAAAACTTAGGTTGTACATGTTGCAAGTACAGAACCTTAGCTAGAGCGACGTTTCTAACTTCCCTTCTAGATACGTGATGCTTATGCCTTTTTTCTCTTTCGCCGATAAGTATGCTTGCGCGGCAGAGACAATTTTTTTCCTCCCTCACGATCTGTTTCTAGCTGTCCAGCACCTGCCCTCGTCTCACTCGAGCAAGCATTTTGTTACTATTATTTTTGTCCTTGGTACATAATACAATGTCCGATGACGCACTATAAACAAATTCCCACACCCTCTCTGTCGCTAAACCACACCGGTTCCCTTCCTGGCTTCCTTGTTTTGGAGAACCGATCTTCTGTTAGCTACTCCTATATACTGCCTAGCCGATCATCGATCGATTATTCAGGTCCTCGGATCTTGACTGCGCGCATGGACGGTAATCTTCTCGTCGTCGACGACGATTACAGAAGAAACTTGCCCGTCGATGGTCTAATTTCTTGTCTCGTCGCGCCGGCCAGCGTTCCTGCCATGCCCGGACGACGGCCCAACGGCTTCGCCGCCGCCGCGTCGTCCTCCCCGTCCCCGGCGCTCAGCGCGTCCGAGCGGGACCTCTACGACTTCATCTGCAGCGGCCCACTGGTGGACAGGATCGGCCACACCAAGGAGAAGGTCGCCGGCTCCATCGACCGGTGGCTTCGCTGCGGGGTTCAGGTGGCGCGCCTCCTCCGCCTCGACGAGCGCCGGCTGTCGGAGGCCGAGAAGGCCCGGGTGTACCAGTTCTACATCCCCGTCTTCCTCTGGTGCGAGGACCAGGTCGTAGAGCACAGAGCCAAGTACGACGACGGCGACGACATCCCGCCATTGGTGGTATGCACTCGCATCAACATTGGCCGTTTTTGCAGTCGTTACTACTTGCTTAGATGCTCATGTTCATGTCGATGAGAGGTTTAGAGCTAAGGCAATCGACCCCATCAGTATATCGTCGTCATCACACAGATAAAACTGGTGTGTGGCATAAAATTTGTCCTCGAGTGAGGTGAGGATACAATCCAAAGCTCTTATGCCATGTTCCACTTCCACCAGATGTGCACAAGAGAACATGTTCCTCTGAATTATGCGGGACCGCACACAGTAGATGCTAAGCAAAATATATTAAAAAAGCATATGCTGTCCATGAGACATGCTTAATAAAAGTGCATCTGATCTTATCATCTTAAACCTGATGGATCGAGGGAATCACTAAAGGAGATGTTTTAACCTAGACGGGACCTGAATCTGATTCTGAGTTTACATGGATGAACAACCTACTAGCAAGTTCAGTTCACATTTGATAAACGAGAGTATCTTTATCTAACACAGATCGGGGTCAGCGCTCCCCAAGGAAGTGGAAAGACGACTCTAGTCTCCGCACTTGATCATCTTTTTCAGGTTGCTGGTAGGTGAGTTCTCCTCATTGAACTGATCATAGTGCTCTTTGCCCCTGTGAATGAAATTTAAGAGCCAAACTTCTGTGTGACATAGGAAATCCGCCACATTGTCTATAGATGACTTCTATTTGACAGCAAAAGAGCAGGTATGAACTTCTACTAGATGGAAAATATATCGACCATATACTCTCTCCCCTCTTTCCCTCTCTCCCCCTAGCTAGTACTGAGTACTGAAAATAGTGAGATAGCTCACACATAGGCTTTTTTTTATGTGCAGAATGAACTGAGGGACAGATATCCTGGAAATGCTCTTTTAGAGGTACAAACTCCCTCACTCCAGTAGGCTAGTGAATGTGGATTTACTTATTACTTTCAACATTGTAACGCAAGCTGAATTGAGAGTAATAACTGACCAAAACTTTCCAGCTCCGTGGAAATGCTGGAAGCCACGATCTCCAATTCAGTGTTGAAACACTCGAGTCACTGATGAAACTAACAAAGGAAGGTACCAGTTTAGACAACTATTTGGACCTTCTTCAAAACTATTTGTTTTTGGATGATGATTTGTGCACAGGGCTTCTCTTCTTGGAAAATTACTAAAATATTTTACATCGTTTTAAAATATATTTTTGTGAACTCACAAATGTTTTCACAACATTTAGGCATCAAGATGAAGGTTCCACGGTATGACAAGGTAAAAGGTGCAGTTAACGTTCCTCTAACTGATGTTTATAAGCTTATAGCTGATCAGCTGCATGATACATGCCACATGTCCATGTAGTCTGCTTTTGGGGGAAGAGGCGATCGTGCTGATCCTTCTGTATGGCCGGAGGTTGAAGGGCCCTTAGAGGTAATCTCATTTTTAGTCGACGAAGATTAGTTTGAGAACTTAAAGCGTGTCTTCTTTGCTGTCCTAGGTTGTTCTCTTTGAAGGATGGATGCTTGGATTTAAACCTCTTCCAAATGAAGTTGTGAAAGCAGTGGATCCCCAGGCATTTATCTGATTTGTTGTTTTTACTTTACCTGTAGCAATAGTATGACACTAATTTAGTAATTTTGTCATATTCAGCTCGAGGTGGTTAACAAGAACCTTGAAGCATACTATGACGCTTGGGACAGGTTCATCAAGTCATGGATCGTTATAAAAATAAGAGAACCTAGTTGTGTCTACCAGTGGAGGCTGCAGGTCATTACTCGAATATCTGACTAGTGACAAGACTGAACTCGTAACAAACCATGAATTGCAATTTCTGAGATTAGTATTTGGACTGCAGGCAGAGATAGCCATGAAAGCAGATGGAAAACCTGGAATGTCTGATGAGGAGGTGCATTCCCTGACAAAGCTATCTCTTATTTAAAGTCATGGTAGTGGAAAGAAAAATTACTGATTGACTGGTTAGCGATGTACTTCTTTCAGCAAATCATTTTCACGTCATTTATTTAAAATGGAAGCCTATCTGCTCATTTATCCAGCAATTAACTTTAGTTTTTTTTTTCTAGAGCCGTTGATTATCTACAGAAATATAATGCTGAGAGTTCTTTCAGGTTATGGATTTTGTATCACGCTACCTACCAGCATACCACGCATATTTACCCAAGCTGTACAAAGAGGGACCCAATGGTTCAAAACCAGACCATCTACTGGTCATCGACATAGACGAAGGGAGGAATCCTATTTGCGGTTGAAATCCTTATGAGTATTTTTCACAAATAAATCCTTGATGTACAATGTACATTTGCTGAAATGGAACTTATGACCCCACGGTGGAGCATGGGCATATTTCTGAGACTTCTTATGCCTAGCAAAGAGCAGTGCCTCTTGTTTTCTAGACTTAGTTCAAATATATCCCAATTATGTAAAATTCATGTATGCTCATATTTCTCCTCATATGTATGCTCGAACTTATATATAATCAATCAGAGAAGTGCTCTGGTAGACCTCTTTCTAAAAGCTGCACAAATCCCAAAGTAGCCTTGTAATTCCTGCATTTGAACAACTTTATCCATGCTAGGCCGCTTCAGAGTTCAAAGTGTGCGCCGGTTCGCAAAGGTGTGAGCATTATATCAGGTTTTATAGTTGAGAGAGTTATGTAGTCAACCATTGGCATGCTAAGAGTGTTATGTAAGTAGACTTTTTTTTTCTATTGCTTGCTGACTCACCGCCATGTCAGCACCCACGTAATATGCCACATCAGAGAAAACACCTTCAAAGTTGCCTCAGGGGCTTATTTAGATAGGTTTTAGTAGTGTAAGGGACAGAATAGCTCGTTTTATAGTTGAAGGAATAAAGTAGACAGGAACGAATAGTTTGGGAGGTTAAGTGGACTTTTTTTAAGACATTCTCTATGTGTGCTATCCCATGTTACCTAGTCCCCCCCCCCCTAAATTTACTGCCTATGTTTAGGCTGCACTTGAAGTCAGCTACTCAATTTGATATGTAACCAAATTTCCTTCTATATACAGAGCTACTGCCTCCATTCACAAATATTAAGGCACATTTTAACATGGACAGTTTTTTCTTAGTACAGATGCACGTGCTCACTTATACTCACTAAATATTAAGACATAGTTTAATTTGGACATCTTCTTGTTTTCTCTCTCTGAATAATTGAATCAGTAGATCTAGGATCGATAAAGTCATCATAGGTGTTTCGACGTTGATCGTTAAATCTAAAATAAATACAGAAAAATACGAGCATTCATGTCAAATCAAAGGTTTCAATTGGATGAACACGTTTAATTCGCTATACAGTTCTAACTTACATTTAACGTAATTATTGCTGGTTACAACATCAAAATCATACAGTGTTAAATAATATGGATGTAGCGGTCACTTCTGTATTCCTAAACTTGTAGTTGTTGTTAAACGTTACGGTGTTCTGAATAATAGGGGTAAAACAAATAGGCATAACAATATTCCGTTGTAGTCTAGCTTGTTAGGATACTCGGCTCTCCCCCGAGAGACCCGGGTTCGAGTCCTAGCAACGGAATCGTTTTTTGTTTCTTTCTGTCTCTATTTTTATCGTTTTACCCATATTCGAATCCCGGCTACGGAATTTTTTTTGTTTCTTTCTGTCTCTATTTTTATCGTTTTACAAATTTTGTGGCAGAGCTCCGACCTCCGGGAGACCCACTTTTTTTTTAACCTGAGACCCACTTTTACACTGAACTTTTACAGAACCTGAGTCTGTCTCTATTTTTATCATTTTATTCGAGTCCCGGCTGAACTTTCTGTTGTTATGAACGACGTATACTATAAGTAATTAAGCCACAGTGCTTTCTTTAATGTGAAAAAAGCCTCTCTCGAATTTCATACTCCATTTGATAGAGTATTTAGCCAGGAGAATCAGTCGTTGCTCCAGAATGTAGCCGAACATGTATATCTTAGAAAATTTGGAAAAACAACATACGTTTTACAAATTTTGTGGCAGTTTTTTTTTTTGAACCTGAGACCCACTTTTACACTGAACTAAACTTAAGTACAGTTTCGTGCTTTCTCTCTCTCTCTCGAATTTCATACTCCATTTGATAGAGTACTTAGCCAGGTCAGTCGTTCTGAATGTAGCCGAACATGTGAAAAGGCAAAACACTACTTCAGCAGCTTTTTTAGCAAATTTTCATAAAAATCAGATAAGCTGAGCCCACATCTTCAGGACACTGCATGTAAAACAGGCATGCCTCCTACCATAGCAGAAAGACAGATATATCCCATAGTAGGCTGCAACTTACAGTTACAGCAAGACATACTACTACTACAAGTCTCCAACAACAAACTAAACAAGCAAGGTGAAGTTGGTCACGAGCTTTTCAGCAATTGGCCCATGTTGCCAACAAGACGGAGGAAGGAGGAGCAGCCCTCCACTTGACGCCTAGCGACTCACCAGGACGGCAGTGTTGCCTGTCACTGGCTGGAACGCCGCTGCAGACTCTAGCAGCTCCCAGGCCAGCCTACGTTTACCTTCCAGCAGCGCTCGCATCTCTTCGGCTTCCTTGTGTGTGGCAAGGCAGGCTGAGAAGAGCTCCTCATCCATTTCTGACAGCATCTTCTTCACGTTGGTTGTCAGGTTTAGGACTGATACATTCCAGTGGCTCTGGATATTCTCTTCTAATGCTGGGGTGACGATGGGCATGATTGCTTGCCGATTCTGTGCAACCAAGCTGATGATGTGATCATTGTTGCACATGAAGAGTGCTCGTTCTGCAACCTGAAATAGTTCATTTGATTTGACTCAACCACTTGAAGGGAACATCTTAAAAAAGGAGTACTTTAGTAACAAGGATCAAAATAGTGAATGATGGATATCATTAATGAAAAAGACAGCAGAAAGCCCAGAAATTGCCACACCTGCCGAAGAGGGTTCATTTCTACTTTTCAGGGAAACCAAACTTGGCCAGTGCACCAAAAACCAAACGGTTTCCTGGTTAACTCAATTATCCAGTCTGATTCATTTTATTTAGCTTTTGCTTCCTTAACATCAAATCCAGCCAAAACTGATCATACCATACATAGCAGGCACCCAACTAGACACATTGCTTCGGCTGATGCTTTGCACAGTTTAATCTTCTACTTTCTTAAAAGAAGGGAAACTGCATATCAACTATGGCCATATCCCATACCCAGACCATAAATGGTGGTGCATGCTGGCCTACCATTATTTGTCCACATCTTTCAGAAAATAACAGGTATTCGTTGCTTATTTGGCCTGTCTACAGATGGTGCACATTTCATGCATCAGGAGATCCAACAGAGCCTAGCCTTACATGGGCAGTGTGTGGTTACATTACGATAAGTACATTTTGTGGCCATGAATGTTTCCAACTGGATGAGTGATTCTTTGGACTGTACCATGTAGACGACATCATAAAGTAATGGGAGTGACAGAAATGAATTAGATTAAAGCATCAATGAGTGGGTGAAGCTCTTCAGTCTTCATTTGGTACAACATTTTTGTATATATGACAAAAATGCACATCTTTTGTGTTTGAGAAAAATGCATATCTTTCGTGTTTTGAGAAAAATGCAGATCTTTGATGGTTTTTGCACGCTGCCATCACCCTTGCTATTCAAATCAAGGAGAAGGCTCAATGCTGGGAAAAAGCATGGTTCCATAAATTGAGGTCACTCTTTGCTGGCATCAATGTGTAATGCCTTTCTTAATCGTAGGCTGCTTTAGTTTACTTGTATATAATAACCTTTTGAAATTCTATGCTGTCTAAGCCCTTCCCTAGCTTGGACGTGCGTGTGGTCACACTTTCTACTCCTCTTAATGAAATACATGCTCAGACAGATTCCAGAAAAAAAAAATGCATTATGTAAATAGAGGGATATAATGCATGCAGACTACAGAATGGACATGTGAATGTAAATGTAAATTTAAATCGCAACACACAATTCATTTCTCCTAAACAAGGTGAGGGTCAACATAATTTATGAGCTACCTGGAAGTGGGAACTGTTGATGCATTGAGCAATTCGTCTGAACAACGGAACCATGCACTTCTGGAATTCAACTGAGTTGGTTGCCTCCAGGACCTCTTCAATCTCACTCAGAAACATTACTTCTTTCTGGCTATTTGTTATTGGCCAGTATCTGAGCAGACCAAGTATCACTGAACTTGCAAGCTTTGGTTCCTTCTCTACAAACTGGGTCACACAGTAGGTTAACTGCTGCAGATACAAACCAACTGATTTTGGCTTGTGTAAAGGAATTAGAACCCTCCAAAGAAAGATTTTGTGTTCTTCCTTCAGAGGCAATGCAAAGCCACTAATAACACTACCAAAAACCTCCAGTAGTTCAGCAATACCATTATGGCAATCAGTCTCAAACACGAAGTGGTAGAATATATTGGTCACTGCTTTGCGGATGAAGGGACGGTGCACCATGAACTTTCCATAGATTCGATGCAATATTGTTTTCAAGCAATCCCTTTCTCTTGGATCCTCAGAATCGAACAGTTCGAGTAGCTTCACGATGAATGTGTGGTCAAAATATTTCTTTCCTACCTTCGTATCCAGAGATGAGGAGCCAATAAATTTCAGTAGCAGATCATACACAAGATGCAGATGGGGCCATGCAGGGTCAAACATTGGCTCCTCCTCTTCACCCTCGCCACAGCCGGACGAACCAGAAAGGTAATTGGGAGGGAAGACCCTGAACAGGTTGATGGTAAACATTCTACAGCAGGCAGCAACCATTGTCTCCGTGAAACGGGAGGATGCAGAATCCACATAGTCCATAAGATCCAGCAATGCCTGCCTTTTGAAGTCCTTCTCCGCAGAGTTCTTGTTGGGGTCCGAGAAATCAAAGACAACGCAGCAAAGGCTCACCTTGCTGACGAACAGGTTCTGCTTCTCCCCGTTCGGGACATCCTTGAACGACACAAGCGGCTCAATGCCAGCCACCACGCTAGAAGGGAAGACCGCAGACGACATGCGCTTCACGCTGGACACCGGACGGGCAGGCCCGGCGCCGGGGCAGCTGCTAGTGCGCTGTATCGTGCCCCCGTTCCCAGCATCATTGCGTCCCGGACTAGAGCCTGAGCCAGGGTCACCCTTCCCGGAGGCAGAGGACTTCTTAGGCAGCTTGGTCAGGAACTGTTTCCACATCTTTCCTCAGAGATTTCTCACAGCAACCACATGTCCAGATGATCCTGGGCAGCTAGCTAGCACACCAAAAACCGCATGCAAATGAGCAGCAGCGACCAGAGGCAGTAGAACAAGCACCCAGGGAATCTGATTCTACTGCTAATGATGCAGCGAGGTGAAGTCCGAGCAAAACCACCAGATTGAGCACGCTCGGACAGCGCGTGCGCGAGTGAATCCAAGGGGAGAAGAAACCCGAAACTATATAGCAAAACCACCAGATTGCACAAATGCGAGCTCAAGTAACAAGCGAAACCGAGAACCCAACCAGAGAACTGCTAGTGGAGGAAGGAGTTCACCGGGAAGGCTGGGATTGGTTCGGATCTGCGGCGCCTCGGCCAGAGATTGCCGGATCCAAACGCCAAACCGCGGTCCTGGCGGCAGATCGAGATGCCGAGAGGGGTGGGCTACTGGGGTAGCAGGCGAGGCGACATGGGGAACCTGGTGGAAATCCGGTGGGCTTCGGCTGCTACTGGGGAAGAGAACAGGAAGGCGAGGGAGAGAGTGTGATAGCGGGGCGAGATTAACGAGGGAACGAAGGGTGCGTGTGCCCTGTTCGTTTCTCTTCCGTACTCTTTTTTTTTCGAAACAGTGTTTTTCAGCTCATGATGGTTTAGGGTTTAGGGTTTATGGTTTTTGTTTCGCTGATGGTTTCGGGTACTTTGGTCCTGATTGATTTCCGGATGAGGCATCCTAGCTCGCATCATCACGCCCTGGTGCAGAACCGTAGATGAATTCCGTATCCAATTGCTGCTTCCTCCGTTCTAATTTTTTACAGTGTCATTGTTTTAGTATTTTAAGTTTGATCAACTATAGATAGGTCCGTTCGGCTTATCCCATATTCGGTTTGTTCGATTTGTTTTTTCGATCGGAACAGTATTTTTCTCTCACAATAATTCAAAACAATATTTTTTAGCCAAGATTTAGACCAGCGAACGGGGCCATAGAAATAATTAAATATTTATAATATCAAATAAATATTAGATTAATTATGAAATGTATTTTTTTAATAAATCAATTTGAAATCATAAATGTGAATTACCATTCATTAAAATTTTTGTCAAACGTAAATCACTTTAAATACACGCGATCCATAGTTGTATTTTTTAGACAGAGAAATAAATTTTATTATATATCTAGACATATCATATAGTATCATAGAAAAGCTAAAACGGTCTATAATTTCAGACAGAGGGTGGATTTTTTTTATCGCCTAAGACAAATTAAGCTAGAGATATAGCGCTCGTTTGAACGACGCCTATGGCTGCTGCGCCGCACCTGCGGTTGCGCCAAATGTTTGGCATTGAGAACAATTGCCACACATTTGGCAGGGTGTGGCAGCAAATTTGAACTAGGTTGTGCTTTTGTTGCGGCACGCCTTAACTTGGTCAGGAGCCAAACGCCAGCCAGAGTTCGTCATATTTACATCGTGAGAGTTTTGGCAATGTGCAACGACGAACCATACAGGCCCATAGTCATCCAAATACTACAAACAAAACACAGGAGTGTATAAAGATACTGCGCCTTTGGAGCCTGGCTAGCCTCACACAAGCTATCAATCAGGCCCTTTGTGTTCGTCGCCTTCCTGTGTTTTGCTTTCTCTAACCGTAGAATGCAATATGCAATAGCTATGATTTATGACCGTGGTTGATTTTTTCCTCTTATGAAAAATTGGCAGGGCTCCGGCTTCGACTCGTCTTATGGAGCACCTTCTCGGGTGCAACTGAAATCTGTCTTGAAAAATATTTGACAAAAACAACTTAAATGATAATTTTATAATAATTTGTGTCATCGTAAAGAGAAGCTGGGAGATTTTTTTTTGCTTTGCATAGTAAAAAAAAAACTGGTTCCCACTCCTCCGGGCTCCCTTTTTTAATGACTATTTGGTAGAACTCATCGCAAGAAGCCGCTAAAAGTCAACCAAAACCCTACCAAATGTGTTTAAGAATTAAACAACGTCCCTAAAACAACGTGATGTTGCTTATCTAGGCTTAGAGCATCTAAAACAACGTGATGTTGCTTATCTAGGCTTAGAGCATCTTTAATTAAGAGTTTTTTTAAACTTATTTTCTAAATCATCGTTTGAATGAAGAGCTATTTAAATAAGAAATACTTCCTATATATTTCCACACTCTATCAACAAAAGCTAACCTAAATCGGATGCCGAAAGGCTCTAGTTCCCTGTTTGTTGGTCAGGCATCTACAACACATGCTTCTGAAAAAAAAAAAACAGTACAAAACTAATGTTACTGAGGGCATCTTACGTAAGATCAATGCCTTTGCCCTAAGATTTCTTTAGAAGGCCTCGTTTAGTTTCTCCACATAAAGTTTAGTTCCTATCAAATCGGATATTTGAACATATGTATAAAGTATTAAATATATACTAAAAAATAACTAGTGGCACAAATTGCAACTTCTTTGCAAGATAATTTTTTAAGCCTAATTAATTCATTATTTAACAATATGGTGCTACAATAACATGTGCTAATGACGGATTAATTAGACTTAATAAATTCATCTCGCGGTTTTGAGAACTTCTATAATTTATTTTATTATTATTATCCTAACACTCCGACGTGACACTCTACGTAATATTTGATATGACATCCTAAATTTTAGCTCCTGGCTGTATAAAAACTGAGGGCGGGCAATTTGTTTGTCTTCTCGTATGGTTCCGTCATTCCGTGAGGCGAGCCGCGAGCCTACGCTCCGGGCTCCCGCGTACAGCTAGCTGCAGCATTGCAGCTGTAACCTGCAATGGAAATGGGCAAACGTGAAACAGAGGCTTGGCGCGATGATACGGAAGAGCAGGTGGGTTCCACACGCAAAACGGCCAAATCCACCTCAACCTTTTGTTCGAAGTCCACCAGACCACCACGTTCAGGGAGAGCCTTTACTCGCCTACTACTCGGGCCCATGGCCTGAGTACGCAGCGAGCCCATGGCTCGGGGTTGCCTAGAGGAGGGATGACGCTGCTTGCGGGCGCGGCGGGTGGGCCGCATGCCGGCGCGGTACGGGGAGACAACCGGGTGGGTGGCCAATGGACAGTGGGGCCTGGGTGCCCGCCCGGCTGACGGCCGTGACACGTTGGGATATTTCTGTCGGTGGGTAGGGCCCTCGGTCCCCGTTGGTACGGACTACGGAGCAGCGCGCCCCTCGTGACTTGTCCGAGCCGTCGTCGCCCGTCGGTGTGCCTGGTATGGTGGTGCCAGGGGTGGTTGAACTGCGGCGGTCGGCGCCTCCGCGGAAGGTGACAGGCGGGGGAAAGGTACTCCAAAAATTATCTATGTGTATTTACATGGGTGTTTGATTATTTAGTTGCTTCTAAAATTTATATCAAATCAAATATTTAGATATTAATAAAGAACATTAAATATAGATTAATTATAAAATCAATTATATAGATGGAGGTTAATTTACGAGATGAATTTTTTTAAGCCTAATTAATCCGTCATTAGCATATATTTACTGTAGCACCACGTTGTCAAATCATAGGCTAATGAGGCTTAAAAGATTTGTCTCGCAAATAAGTCGCAAGTTGTGCAATTAGTTTCGTAATTATTCTATATTTAATACTCCATACATATGTCCAAATATTCAATGTGACAGAAATTTTAGAAGAAGGAATCAAACAGGCCCATAGTTTGCTTGGTTGTCTTGTCGTTGAGAATCAGACTCATGTTGGATAGGCTACAATGATACTCCCTCGGTACTAAAAAAAAAAAAATAAAGTTGTTTTGGAATAAGGTTTAGATCAAATATTGAGAATATAAATCATAAATAATTTTTAAGTTGTTGAGTTTGGAAATGTGAAAGCCATATAAATAGATTTGTCTTGAAAAATACTTTCATAAAAATATACATATATCACTTTTTGATAAATATTTTTATAAAAAACAATGAGTCAAAGTAATACTTTGGAGACCGTGTCGCTGTCCAAAACAACTTTATTTTTTAGTATGGAGGGAGTACAAGCTATCATTGTTTAGTTGAATAGAACCTAGCCTGAGAAGAGATAATATTTTATTGTCCACGTAAAATCATATTATATAAAATAAAAATAGATAAACAAGTAATCTAAACTCTAATAGTTCCTATTTTACTTCTAATATCACTTAATATATATTAATCCCAACACAAATGAAATATGTATTTGATGAGCCAGGTCGTGGGATGCTTTTTGCATCTAGAGAGCCAGGTCTAGACTCCCATGCATGTCACCAAATACGCTGAAGTTACGTCTGCAGAGCCTGATTCAGATATATGCAGGCAACCAAACAAACTATTAGGGTCTACACTAGGGTAGAGCTCTATTAAAAATAAAATTGCTTATCATTGATAGTTCCAATAAATAACTGGCAATAAAAAACGACGTATCAAATTATTACTAGTACCAAGGTCAGACAATTATTTTAGGATTTGAGCTAATCATCAGGCCCTTAACGTTGCGGTGTCTGTTCAGTTTTTTGGCTAACCACGCGCTACCGTAGATGAAAACTCCGTTAACGTGTAGCCGCTGGCACGTGCATCACCAGCTCACCCCCTTTCACCCACAATTGCATCGCCTGCTCACTTCTTAAGCTCAAATTGCATCATCAGATCAAATTTATGCCTGTTGAAAACTGTATTGCCTGCTCAAAAATTGGACACGCCTAACATAATCGTGATGCCTTTATACTTTGTTCGCCACTCCACATTGGCAATCACTTTCAAATTCAATATTCATATCCATGTTGGCATGCCCTATATAAGTAGCCAAGGAGGAGAACAATCTCAAAGCAATTCCGATAATCTCTTCCCTCTGTCTATCTGATTCATGTAGAACAAATAGACCCGGAATAGGGTTCGACCTAAATGAAGATCCACCATGTTCATGCCTAAACCAGCCCATAGATTGTTCTCATGCATATTTAAAGAAAACAACTCATGTTGACCATCGCTACTTTCTTCTATGCACTTTGATT